ATTTGCACGTGGAGGATATGAAACAAGATAATTTTTTTCAGGTTTTATATAAACATTTGAATAACTAAAAAAAGCATAAATTACTACATTAATATCATAGAATTCCGCTATAATTTATCAAGCTTAGTAATTAAGATGTATTTTAGTCTAAAGAAATATGAAATTTTGAACACATTCAAGACACCTTACCTCGTTGAAATATTGGTTCAAAAGAAAGAAATGGCACCAAATCCATTAAAATGGCTGAGAAAGCCACTAGACGGACATTCTGAGCTTCCGATTGGTTATTTATGATATATACATATAGAAGTAAGTGTATATAAGGGAGTGTTTTCAAAAATTGAAAGAGGTGGGCGGGGTGCCAATGTGTTTAGCTGTAATGTAATATCATGAGCAATATCTTAGCAAATTGAAAAGATAAGAGGCTCTTATTTTATATTCTAGTTTATCAATATTGGTAATTTGAGTTTCTAATTTATACAAAACTATAGACTTAGTATTTTGACTTCACAAACATCTAATTTGAACCAGTGCTTCATTCAACATACCACGTGACACACAAAAATGGATGTTTATCTGTGTTTTTGTTTATATTTGCTATTAAATTAAGAATTTAAGTAATATATAGTACAAAAAATTGAATTATAATATACAGATTGATACCAAAGGTATTAACATAAATTCATGAAATAGTAGTTCAATAACATTTTGAAAGCAAGTCAACAAACGAGATGACATGGCCTTTTACCCGTGATTAGTGCAGCCTCCACTAATGCTGATAGCATAATTCAGTCACTCGGTTAGAAAAATAAAACTATCTTAACTAACTGTAACCTGTATTTTCAAAATATAAATTTGCATTGTTGTCCTATTATCTTCAGAATATATCACGAAGAAATCAAAGGACTTAATTCTATTAATTTCCTATATAATATTTTAAATAATCAAACTTCAATAAGATCATCTCTTACCCTTTTTAGACTGACTTAAGTCTTTTCTTTCTCAGAATGTAGATATTTTAATTTTGAAAAACTCAAACAGTATTTTCAAGACTATAAGCTATTTATTCTTACTTTGTGACTCAACAGTAAAAACTGAGTCTAATTTCATTGACAGTGACAGTTACTGACTTTAGTTTAACTTTTAAATTTAACTGATGCGATATAAAATCAGCCCATTTTAAAAGTTTACCTACAGTTTAAAACATCATGGTTAATAACTTTCGCCTGTTGTAGTTTATCATTATAGTTTACAGCCTATACAACTACATCTTTCGGATTATTAATTTATTTGTATTTTCATAGGCCTAGCAATTGTAGTACTATTAGTATTACTAGGGAATTCGGTAACTTTATAAATGATATACATTTTATTATCTGTAATAATTTCTTGATAAGACATAACATTAACAGTCTTAAGCAATCAAGCTAGCCTTATAACATGAACAAGTACTAAATGCTACCAAAGTCACATATTATTACCATTAGTTAACTAGCAAATACTATTAGTATTACCGATATTAATAGTAATACTATGGCCAATATAATGAATATTACTACTAGTTTACTACGTACTAGTACTGGTAGCATAGCGTATATTTACTCTGTGCCGAAGCATTCAATACATACAAAATTAACTTAAACACAAAAAATATTAAAATAAAATACAATGTTAATTAAAAGAATTACTTACCCCAAACTTAAAGAACTAATATCCATTTCGAAAAAAAAAAATCAAGCTTCGTTATGCAGCGCCCTCTCACCACAAATGACCGAATACTATTTTCCTGTCACATAAAACAAAAATATTCTCTCATATCTAAATTAATGCTAAACAAAATAAAACTTTTGATTTTAAACCAAGTTCTTAACTTTATCAAGCCTAGCTTCTATTACCCAACAATTTATTATATATATTCGTAAAAATTAAATTAAACCGATTTTATTTAGTTGAAAATTATGGAGCACATATTCATCCGTTAGGATTCCAATTTCAAGGTAAAATGACATGGAACGTTGAATTCTAGAAAGATGTAAAAATACAGAAAAAAAGCTTATGTTTATGCTTTCACTGAGGCCTTCTTAAAAAATTGTTACTTTGCTTTTTTAATGGTGCAATTTTTATCAGTTTCATTTTTAGTGAGTAATTATTATCGGACAATTAGCATATACCGAACATTTATCGAGCTAAATGTTTAAAATGACTAAGCTTTTTTTTTAGTTTAATTCGTGCAAGCCAATCAACTTACCAGCTTCTGAAACTCTTTACTGATATGCAAAAACATATAGGTTAATTCTGAATACTGTTGAAATAATAAACGTTCGGCCTGTGTTGTAGTTTTACAAATATAAAACTTTGAGTTTCAATATTTGGATGTTACTTTTATCTTACTCATTGTGCATTTTACGTTGTTTTTGTGTTAGTTAGTGTTCCATCTTAATAAAAAAACTAATTATTAGTGTTACTACTAGTACCATACAAATGGATTGTGCGGTCATTGTTTACTATTTATATTGATTAAGTCTTAGCCAGGCTAAAGTTTTAATTTCAAAATTCTGTTGTAATAAGCACATAGTATTACTATTCGTTAACTTCGCCTTCATTTTCAACTCAAGTGCAACTTCAAGAGGGGTGAGAAAATATCATTTATTTATTTTTTCAATTTTCGACTTTACTTTTGAATATCACGTTTTGGATTTTACTATTTTCATTTTAGCCTATTTAAGTTTAGATAACAATAATTATTAACATGAAGGTGAGGCTAATGATATTATTATTAATAAATAATATTAATTACTAATAGTAGTAATACTGTTATTAGTAAGTACTCTCTAGTACCATTTTTAATTTTACACGAGGATTCAAAAGTGGTATTATTATAAATATTACTACATTAGTACTAATAATATGGCTATTACTTATTATTTAATATTAAAACTAAGCCTATACTATAAAATAAAAGTTTAAATGAGAGACGTTTTAATATCACCCTAGTAGTAGTACTCAGTATTAGTTAATTCTTTCAGAGCTATATTCTGAATTGGACCAAATATCTAGCTGCCTTATCATCGTTCATAGTTTAAAATAGGAAAAATAACTTACTTAAAACTAAAAGTAAAAATAAGTTTTGCTAATAATATTATTATGACACTGACAGTAAATTAAAAAGCCAAAGTATATAGATGAAACTTTAAAATGATATTGTTTTGCAATGCAGAATAACTTTTAAACCGGTTTGATAATACAAGTTTTTCGTTGCATAACCCGAAATGCAAGATCATTTGGGAAGTCAACCATCATTATGTGACTGCAAGTTATCTAATAAAATAATAAGACAGGTTCTGTGCATGGCTCTTAAAGAAATTTCAAAGAATATGGCATATAGTTTTCTCAACAGGAATTTGACTGGTAATGGTATGACATGCAAAAAACATCTGTTATATTTGTTTTTAAGTTTAGAGAGACATTCTCTCAGTTTGTTGGATTAAGAATGTTTGTTACGCCTGAATTTATCCATTAGACCCTAGTCATGACAGATTCTAAAGCACTTGTCTGGCATATAAAAGGTCACAGGTTTCACCTTCAAGCCAGAAGAAAAATTACCCCTTTACCCCCTTGGTTCCTGATAAAAAGTCTTCTGTATATCGTGCATGCCTTGTCCAAGGTGTAATACCTGAAACAACGTTATTATACATCAGCTTTTTTAAGACAAAGAATAAGCTTGAAAACAGGAAAGAAAGGCATTTGTCGTAGCTTGGGAAATATTTAATCTTCGTGTTGGCTACAGGGTTTCCAGATGTTTTTTTTTTATATCCCTCTAGTGGTGAACCAACTGGCCCCATTTATAAAATACCTGTACCACCCTGCTTTGTTTTTGAAATAGTCTTAAATTCCTGATTAATTCATATTAAATTATCAGCATAACCAATTCCAGCAAAGACACAAATCTTTTGTCTCCCACAGCATCTGTCCTCATGCAACTTAAATTAGAAGGATATTATTTTTAATAATAATATACATTTTTAATGAAATTATTTTTTAAAATCAAGAACCATACAGAACCCGCACGTTTTGAATTATCTACTAAAGTTTTTACATTAGAGTTATGTTTACTTTTGGAAGGTGGACTGGTAGTGGTAGATTGGAGGGCATAGAACATGTACTGTTATCTGTGGGAAATTTCAAAGGATATCACTAAGAGCAAATGCATTTTAGCATTAACTCTGCATTTGATTTCTTCTTCTCCCGGGCAACATTTCTTCCACTTTCCCTCATAGGTTTGAGATCCCCTATAAGTGGTGTATTTACTCAAATCTAGCAACCCTAGTTGAGGTTTGAGATCCCCTCTAAGTGGTGTATTTACTCAAATCTAGCAACCCTAGTTGAGGTTTGAGATCCCCTCTAAGTGGTGTATTTACTCAAATCTAGCAACCCTAGTTGAGGTTTGAGATCCCCTCTAAGTGGTGTATTTACTCAAATCTAGCAACCCTAGTTGAGGTTTGAGATCCCCTCTAAGTGGTGTATTTACTCAAATCTAGCAACCCTAGTTGGCTGGTTATTTCCCTAAATCAGAAACCCATCAGCCTTTCACAAACGTGAAGCTATTACTTTAAATTCTGATGTTGGTGAATCAGTAAGTCCTTATGTGTAATTTGCTACTAGCTTCAAAGTAACCAAGTTTAATCCAATGGAAGAAAATATTACAAAAATATATATATACACACCACATAGAACATAGTAAATGAACTCTTAACAGAAAATATAACTTAAATAAATACATCTATTGAAGAACGAAGATCCTACGTGACGTTGATTACTAACTTAGTTGTCTCCCTTTGATGCTGTGGTCTTCACTGAACTATCATACGTTTTGCCAGATGTCTTGAAACTAATAAACTGAAGTTGTAATAAGTGATAAAAATTGTGCATGTCACAAGAATATATGTGGGAGAATAATGTGCAGTAGTTTGCAACAGAGAAAAGTAAAAAATGTATATGCAGTCAAGTTGTAATAGTGTTATAGACATAATAAGCACTGGATTATAATTTTAAAAAAAATCTGAAAGATTTAATTTTCAGACTATATTCAGTTACTAGTTTATGAAAAAAAAAAAAAGAAAGGAAGACCAGTCTTAAATTTGTTAACTAAGATTGAAGTGACTTTAAGAATGAATAAAGTGAAGTAAATGTACAAACCCAAATAAGACATGAAAAAAAAATTGTTTGGATGACGTGATATCTCAAGTAATAACATTCATGACTTTGAATATGGTTTCACATCAGGCCTGGCATGTTCTGATGGTTGCAGCTTTTTTCAGCTACTGAGTTGTTATAATGTGATAGTCAGTCCCATTATTCATTGGTAAAGAGTAGTCCAAAAGCTGGTAGTTGGTGGTGTTGACTAGTTGCTATCCCTCTATTCTATATCTTCAAATTTAGGGACAGATAACACAAATAACGCTCAAGTAGCTTTGCACAAAATTCAACAAACATACATGAACAATCTCAAGAAAAACTAAGAATGAAACAGAAATTTCTTTCTTCTTTTTGCTTCTACACGAGTGTGAAATCTGAAATTGTTTGTTAAAATACAATTAAGTTTTGATCAACAGATTCATACACTAGGAGGAACAAGATCATAAGGAACTGGCTTTTTAAAATTCTATTAAGTTTTATTTTTATGGCCCTTATTTTTTGGCAGATTAGATGCTTTAGCTTACCCATAATACATGTATCATAAACGAACTAAAAGATGTATTTTTACAGAACCAAGTAGGGATGAAGCATGTAGCCCAAAGTTAGTTCCAACTACTCTTAAAAATTTGTGGTATTTATCATTTGATCCTGATGTAGTACAATTAATGAGATCATGAGAGGAGACATCTAACAGAGCAACAAACCCTCAAAGTGGATTACAGTATTTATCATTTGATCCTGATGTAGTACAATTAATGAGATCATGAGAGGAGACATCAAACAGAGCAACAAACCCTCAAAGTGGATTACAGTATTTATCAATTGTAAAGTTTTTCTGGATCCTAATATGTTTTTATTTTTAAGCTTGCACTTTAGTTTTGAAAATTCAGAAGATATAAAATGTTTTTATATAGATCTTGGTAAGTAAAGCATAAACAATCCTATATCTTGTATATAAAGTTGTGAATTCAGTACCAACTTGTTTAAAAGCAGTTATATAATTTTTAATTGAGTAACTTTGAAACTTCAATTGCAGATGGGTGGTATAGTTAGTGATGAATTTTTGTTTGTTTTATAAGGAATTGTGTTTTATATTTCCAACTGGTGATTATAGAAAGCCATCTGGTACATGTAAAAATACAAGGAGCTATTGGACAACTCAGGTATGTATGTATGTTGTTTCAAAAAGTAAAACACCTTAGTATAACTTCTGTAACATTTTTATTTTGCTCGTTAATCCTTGTTATATTTTTTATAATAATTGTGTGACGAACATTATTTGTCATGTAGTCATTTTTTTAAATATATTCTAAGTTAGTACATTGTGTTATGTTGCATGTGTGTTGTTATTCAGAACAGTAAAGTATCCCCCCTTATACAATTGTAACACCATATTTGTAACTTTTCTGTGTGGAAATGGAATTTAATAAAACTAAAAGTTATGTATATATATTTGAGTTAGTATTCTATAGATGTGCATTTTGTCAGAGATCTAGAAACATCCTTCACCCATTTTAAACATCCCTTGCTTCAGGTAACTAAGTTTAAAAATGACAGTTTTGTACCAATGCTGACCTGTATGAATGATTGGTATTTAAAACTGACATATAACACAACTATTGTTCCAACTGATAGGCAGATCAAAATGTTATAATTTCCCCCACCCTCTTTTTTTATATCAGAAAGAATGGCTTGTGAATAGAATCCAGGATTTTGAGGGATATATAGCCATCTGTTTTGTTTTAATGGTATTTCTGTTTTGAAGAATATTTTATGTGGATGACATTTATTTGAAATAGTTATGTGGGTGTAAACAAAAATAACATTCTATTTGTAAATATGTATTTCTATTTTCTGAATATTTAGAAGAACATAATGATAAATAACATCCTATAATGATACCTGTAAAGTTATGTTCTATTTCATGCTAGTTGTTGTCAAGTGTGTGGTTTGTAACTTAATAAATAGTTGGTAGTATTAGCACAGGCACTTGATAGTCATTACTGAAGACTCAACTAATGACAATTCAACTTGTGTTTGCATCATCTGACTCAGAGTGTTTGTTATTCTCCGTAAACTATGACAATACATTGTTAACTTTATTTCCTTAATGCATATCCACTATATTGTAAATAAACTAGTTACCTTTTCTTTCAAGATCAAAGACGATGTCGCCAAACCTACAGCTTTTACCAAACGCTGGCTTTAGAGAAAGAGTTTCATTTTGACCCTTATTTGACCAAACGTAGAAGAATTGAAATTGCTCACACTCTCAACTTAAAGGAAAAACAAATCAAAATATGGTTTCAGAATCGTCGAATGAAGTGGAAGAAAGAGAAAAGAAGTACCTGAATGTGGTATGTCTAGTAAATGCATAGGACTTAATAAACAAGGTGGATTCTGTCTGTTGCTATGTAATCATCATGTGTAGACCATGAAAGACTCGGACAACTACAGGTGAAATGAACTGAATAAATATTCCTTTTGTTAATAAGATTGTCTAGCCTCTCTCTGTTTTTTTTTATCAGAATAGCAAAAATGAGCTTACATTTAGCATAAATAGATTGCCGACTTAGTCTGTACAGAATCAATCCCATATTTCTTTAAAATATACATCTTAAGTCTTATACTGTAATCATTACCTTAACTAATATATAAATGAGAGGAAAACATTTAAGTAGCTAACTGTCAAATGAATATTGATATGACCATTTAATACAGAAATCCAGGTGAAAATTGAAACAACAAATGAATCTTAACTAAACCTTAGATATATCAATCTACTTTCTGAAACTTTTTCTACTCAAAATACAATGTATTCCATGGCAAGTTGAAGCACGTTAAAAGATGTCTTCCATTTATAATTCTCGGTGATCAAAAGCTTGAAACAAATTAAATATGAATACATTAAATACTATGGTTGAGGAAAAAGATCTTGGTGTTGTGATCGAAAAATCACTTAAGTCATCTAAACAGTGTATTGTAGCTAGCCATAGGGCTAATAGGATTTTGGGTAGCATCTATAGAAATACTGAATACAAGACAAGGGATATTATTGTTTCACTGTATAGATCACTTGTAAAGCTTCATTTAGAGTACTGTGTACAATTTTGGGCTCCCTTCCTCAAGAAAGGCATTGAATTGTTGGAGAAGGTTCACAGAAAAGCCACTAGGATGATACCTGTGATGGTGAGATTGTCCTATGAGGAGAGACTAAAATCTCTAAACTTTTCTCTGGAGAGGAGAAGGGTCAGAGGGGATTTGATTGAACTGTTTAAGATTATTAAGGGTATTGATATTATAGATCCATCAAACTTTTTTGTGTTTAGCAGTGAAAACAATAGGACAAGGGGTCATAAGTTCAAATTTTGGCAGCGTAGGAGTTGTCACGAGTTTAAAAAGTATTACTTTTCAAACACGGTGGTCAGCTTTTGGATTGAGCTGCCTTCAAGGATGGTGGAGGCAGAAAATTTGAATGATTTCAAGAAAAGATTGGATGAATACGTGAATAGTTAAGGAGTGATTATAGTTGGAAGCTGGAAGGGACATCCTTGATGGGCTAATAAGCTCCTTTTTGTTCCTTTAAAATGTTATAAAATTTATTAAAATGCTTCCAACAAAATCAGATTTACCATAACCCAATATTGAAAGATATATCCATCTTTTGCACAAAACAAGGTGATTTCATGGGCGTGTGTGTGTGACAGTTTATTTTAACCACCTTGTAGTCTTGGATGCTGGCTGAAGATGTTATATAACATGCAGGAGCAAACTACCATACAGTTTTAAACCAAGACAACAATTATAGATACTTTTCAAACAAATTTGGTGTTTTAGAAAATGAAGACAAAGAAAAAGTTATCTCTCAGAATTTCTGATATATTTTAATAATGTGCAGTCCACAGAGAGTTTTGACAACAGTATTCATTTAATATATTTAGTTTAAAACAAATTAACTGCAAAAAATCATGAAACTAGCTGCATAAAAATGGTTTAAACTTAGGATACTATGAATACAAAAAAATTAATTGGACTAGTGGATCAGAAAGTCTGAGCTGTGATGTGTTGCTGAATTTGCTCCACACTTTCAGCAGAGTGTTATAGCTATGAAGTTAATCTCGCTAGTCAGGTAGGATTAGCCCCGTATGTGGCGGGTGCTGCTGAATGGTTGCCCTACCTCCAATCACCTGTAGTAAATTTGGGACAGCTAGGCACGAAAATTGGGTTCTCTGACCTGACGATTTAGCCCATGTGTTGCATAATATGCTATTTAACTTGAAAATACTGAATAAGTACCAGACATGGGATTTAAATATTGATTATGTTTATAAACCTGTATTACAATTATGATGTACCTTGATGCCTTAAAAATTGAATAAGAAATTTTATTTCTCTCAGCTATGAAAAAAAAAAAGTTAGGAAATTCAAAACAGTTAAAAACTTGGAATAGAAGTAGTTTAAGTTGGATTTTGATATGTGCGTGTACGATTCACTCCATTGCCAGGAGAAAAAAAGAACTGTTACACATTGACTTGATACATCATGATGTATCAAGTGTTTGAAACAAATATATTTTACTCAAGGTCTTGTTCCAATTAAAATTGGTAAACAAAAATTGACTAAATTATGGCAGACATTTATTTTTATAACGAACAATAAAAATTATGTATAATTATAATGAACTAGGTTGATGACAAGCCAGAGTAAAAAAGGAAAAAAATTGCTCGGCTGGTACAAAATTGGTGTTTTTCAAGTATTTCTTTATTTGTTGTCAGTCCTTTGGTTTGTTTTAATCACTCTTCGACTTGTATTATATATATCAAAGCTTGTCATTCTCATACATAAAAACTATTTAAGGTCAGTTACTCAAATATGTAAATCTGTTTCTACATATACAATAAGTATTGTAATTTTTAGATTGCTCTTATATTTCAAATTGAAATAAATGTTTAGATCTGGATGTGGTTTTAATGGGTACTGTATACTGTTAGTAATATCTCAAAACATTGACTTTTGTTTAATGTTTACATAACAGCAAACCTGTAATTGTTGCTTCGGGAGACAAGAACAAAACACGTATTACATAATTAGTTTGTATGATTTGAGAATTTATCTTTCAACTTGTATATTATTTAAATAAAATAAATGATTTAGTACGTTGAACAAAGTGTGCATATATCGTGCAAGCATTCTTTCAAAAGATATGTAGGTAACTACTAAGTCATAACTACACATTGTACTTAAGCTCAATGCTGAGTATTGCTTTAATCATTGCATATATTATTATATTTGAATAAACATAATGTGTGTGTTGTGAACGTTATTATACACTTTTTTTACCATTTTTTGTAGGTAAATCCATTTGTAATAGTATTACTATTAAAACCAAATAGTGCAGTCATAGACAATCAGAACTGACAGTATGTTTACTTCAAATTGGAAATGATGAACAAATTATAGTAAAAGTGTGTGGTATGAAAATATACCCTATGTTTCCTAACCACCTTAGATAATATGTACATTTTGAAGTTTCTGTACATATTGAACATATGTTTATAATATAGAACATCAGTCATAAGAGCCACTAAATTCCTCTTGCTTCAGTTACTCAGGGAACTAGGTCATTCAATTAGGGTATCACATACTTTATCTTAGGAAAAATTTCTTTAACCTTTAACATATTGTGTAGAAAGCAACCATGATCTTTTCCTTCAGGTAATGTCTCATGGAAACGATATACCTTCTTTTGTACTGAGTAACTGTCAGTCATGACTGTGCCCTGAGAAGAATGGAATTGTTGTTTTTCTTATATAATGCTTTTTTTTTCGTAGTCTAGAACAAGATTTATACAAGAAAAGGTCACAGGTTGATTTTATTGATTTGATAACACTCCACTAAACATACCAAAACAGTGCTTCTTTAAAAGCTATGATTGTGTTTGTGAAGGTATGAATACAGATTGTTTCACTGTATTATTCATTGTTTCCAGTCATTTTCTTTACTTCAAAGGCAGTCATGGTTAAGAGAACAATTTTTTTTTTTACCTATAAAACACTTCCTGGTGAACCTCCAGTTATTGTGCAGCTCCTATCCAGTTAGGAACCTAACACTATAGAAGTAATGATAAGTAAAGTAGTTGGAAAGTTTTTGACTGTTTGAGTAATAACAAATGACATTCGATAGAAGATATTCATGTAAATGTATGGAACTACATAATGGCTGGAGACAGCTTGAATGGGTAATGAAGAAAAACTTTAATATAAGTTTAACATAACAGCAAATGTACGTTTCGACAAGGTTTTGTCATCATCAGGTACAAGGAATTAGCTTTTCAGAGCGGCACTGTA